GCAACTTTCAACTCGGGAATCACAAAAGCTAGGAAGCTGAAAATTTAGGGGAACGTTCCCCACCCAAGTGTGAATCCGCAAATTTAAATTCAGCTTTTCCGTACCCGAGGATAACACGTACGGCCCCGTGAAAGTTTTTTACGGGCAAATTAATATCTCGGGAACCACGGAGTCTAAGAGGCTGAAATTTTAGGGTAATGACCTCCTGCTTACGCTCAACCTTGCCCATTCAAGATCAGTGTTCCCGCGCTCTCGGGAATCGCCTACAGGCTGGTGAAAAATTTTTACGGACAAATTATCTCGAAAAACAAGGAGTCTAGGAAGCTGAAATTTTAGAGTAATGGCCCCCTGTCCACGATCAACCTTGCCTATTCAAACTCAGCTTTCCAGCGCTCTCAGGTATCAACTACGGCCTCGTGAATATTTTGGCGGGTAAACTATTAACTCAGGAATTACGGAAAGATATTCACCCTTCAAGGTTTCGAATTCAGCTTTCATGCGCTGGTGGGTGAAATTTTTAACTATTTTCCAGTGTTTGAACTTTTTTTGCACAGACTAAAGTAGAAGGCAGTGAAAATCATTAATAGGCAATCGTTGGATGGGCTGAATTGCACAAAACGCATGATCGCACCAGCTAGTCTGGTGCACGCTGCTATTTGTCTGAATGTGCAACGCTCATTTATTGAATTTTTTTGTTTCAGTTGTTTATTTTCTTTGTGGAATTTGTTTTTTTTTTGATAGTAAAAATTCTAAGAATTTTTTTTCTTTTCAGGATATATTCGAAATGCTACTTCATGAGAAAAAGTGAACAAAGAAAAAATAATCGCTGGAAGTCGGAAAGCAGGAAAATTACAATTAGTTTATTTTTTTGCAAAAACATGCCTCCGGCTTTTTGCGATGGCCGCTTCGCATAAATTAAGCCAATTATTGAATTAAAATAAATTTATTTTTCTGAAATTAAAATTGAATTTGTTTACATTTAGTAAAACTGTGAAGCCTTAGCACCGAGGAGAAATCAACAGATAACACATTACAGCTGCCTTTTTTTGCATCTAAAATTTTCCAAATTTTTTCAAAATTGAAGCTTCAAAAAATGAAAGATAAAATTATTTTAAACTTTTTTTAAACTACTCACAGGATTTGGTTAAAATAGTACTTCCACTACTCAGCAAGTCAGAAGCATACGATTTCCGTTAAAGGATGCTTTGTTATACAGCTACATTCTGAGCTATATAAACAAGATCATTTTTCCGAACACAGGAGAAGGACTGATGCTGACCCAAGCTTAATAGCCCAGCAATAACCCAGAAATTTCGGGCTTGAAAAAGCTAACATTTCGACATAAGAAACAACCCAAATCCAAGCTTAAGCTTCACGATTCACCAAGTCAAAAATTATGATACGATGAGGTTGGAAAATTGATCTCAGATCTTTTAATAAAAAAAAACAATCTTTTTGCCAAACCATTTGTTCAAATTTGAAAAATTCCAATAATTTGCCGTTTGTATTGTACAGTGATGGTATTAATATTCGCGACTTAATGGGTCGAAACATTTCAAATTCAGGGCTTCTTTTTTCTGTTCTTATTGCAATCCTTATTTTATGTTATTGCACCTCACTAGATTAGTTGCCGTATTTTTACTACTACTTAGATTGGTTGTTAGATACTCGTCCTATTTTGTAAATGCGCCACATCGGTTGCACTGGTCAGAAAATGACCATAATGGAAGAACGGAAGAAAATGACCATCAGGACGGCTTCTGGAGAAAAGGCACGTGTGTTTTATAGTGACGACCAGCTAGACATGCAGCCCCAAGCCAGGAGACTTTGGTTTCACTGTACTCAGCATGAGGGACCGCTCCAGCATTGCCGAGATCCTGCCTTAGCAGTACAAGGGATCACGATTATTTCAATGTTAAATGAACTATAATTTTACAAATAAGTAAAATTTTCCGACCTCTCTGAATAACAAGAAAGAAAACGACAAGCTTATTTTGCGAAACTTTATCAAGTTTCCTCTTTTTGTTCATTGATTTTTGCATTAAAACTGTGCCAACTCTCAAGCATTTTTCTGTTGCTTTTCAATAATAAAAATGTTGTAGCAACAAGTGCACAATCAGTCATTCAGGAAGGAGGCAAGTAGCTGCTGTTCCATGCTAGTAGTAACGGGTTATTTCACGGCAATTATGCATTTGCTACGGAAGATCCGGCTCTCCTGCTTCTCCCCGTTTACTTTCCCTTTGCTTACTTCCTTTGCCAAAGGTACCGACCTCCGCAACTTGTTATGAAAAGATCCCTTTCTCCTCTCGCTCTCCGTCTCAGCTTCCAGCTGCCATTTCATGCTCCAGGCACATTTTTGACTTGTTTTCCGTTAACCAAGGGAAACAGAATTTAAGTAGTTCTTCAATAAATGACAAGCATTCAATGTATTAAATAAACAACAAACATAAATTAGATGCATTTTCGCAAACAATTAAATGCGCATATATTTACTGATGCGCTTAAGAAGTGTTACTGCGTAAAAATTGAGGTGCCTAAAAATTGCTCTCCCTCTCGCTTCTTCTTCCTCTCCTTCCTCAGTGCTTCCACTCACTTCCGCTTTTTGAGAAGTGAAAACACTCTTACATGCCCTAGGTGATACCATTTTTATTAACAACAGCCACGATATCCACGGTTTACTGTTCTACAGGACGCTTGGCAAGCATGCAAAAATTAATTGTACACGAATACAGACTGCAAAGCAGCATAAGCTATGATATGTAACAAAGAAGACTGTGGCTGTTCAGTTCAAAATTTTACTTCAACGGATTTAAAAGATAAAGATTACAACAGAGGAGGTTGGTGAGAAACAGAAGGGCAAGCAGGAGCAAGAAATATTCAGTTTTTGTAGGACGAACGAGTAACGCTACAGTTTTTTTTCAGAAAAAAACTCCAATGATTTTTCAGAAAACTACACTGACAATTCATTTTATATTTGTTAATGAATTCTGTAGCAGTAAAAAGTAGCGAACGCCTGCTCTCAGTTACATCTGACGAGTGGGTGCATCCAGTAGTCCAACTTTTGGCTATCCAGGTAATCCTGTTAATCTTGGCAGCAGACGACTTAAAACGCAGTT